ATGCCCAGGGCTTACTCTCAGGGATATATGACTTATTAGTCTGGGAAGAAGCCGAAGCATAGTTTTGTTTTTGTTTTTTTAAACTGGCTGTCTCACCTCCACTAGAATGTAAGCTCTTATCACCATGTCCTTTACTGGAGCCTGGCACATAGGAGGCATTCACTAAACACCTGTTGAAGGAATAAACAAAGCACTGTTTGTAAAGGAAGATTACTATAAAATAAAAACAAATTATAGGCAACCTGCTACTTTTGTTCGTGTTTTCCCTAAATATATATGGAAATCTAATGCCCAACAATCAAATAGTAGTCTCACATGTCAAAAAGATATTCAAAATCTGGAGAATTAAAAAGTATCATGAAATTCCCTATTTCACCTAGCCTTTTAGGGAAAGTCACTAACAACATATTCCTCTGACCTAGGATGTTAAAAGTGAATTATCCTCATTCACCTTAGTTTCTGCTGAGACCCCTTAGACATCGTCCCTGGGCCATAGGCCAAGGAGATGAGAAGGACGAATGCAGGACTGCAAAACCAGGTGGCTCCAAGGAATTTCACACTTCTACTTGGTCTGTAGCCTACAAGGGAGCTGGAAGTTAAGAGGACAATTTTTAGAGGCTACTGATGTGTATGAGTCTCACCACCCATGGAGGGAGCTGTGGAGTTTCTGCTTCACCTTGAATCAACAGAGGGAGAATGGGCAGAGGGGGACCTTGAGAGCCAGGGGCCAAAAGGCAAGTGAAAAGGGGTCAGCCGGAAAGAGCTCATCATCCACGGGAAAGGGACTGCGGGTAGGAGCTGCCGGACAGAGGGGTGGTGGAGGCAGGCCCCCGAAAACTCATGAAAAACACACCAGAAGCGAAAGGTTCCGCTTTAAACACTCACCAGGCTCAGAGAGCCAGAAGCCCTTTCATGACAGTATCTGGAAACCATGAACTTTCCTCTCCCCATCTCACCCTTCTCTTAGCAACATGGGCAAAAGAGGTGACGGCACAAGGTGGGCAAATAAAATAAAGGGAAAAACCAAACACTTGCTGCTGTCCTGCAGAGCTGGGCTCCCAGTGGGCCCACGCTGGGGAAGGGGTGGCCTCTGTCTCCAAACGTAGTTCAAAGGCTCCTTCTCGTACTTGACTGGCACGCCACCTCCCCAGGGCTTGCCCTACAGTCCACCAAGGGGCAGGGGAGCAGCCAGCCCTGGAGAATAAACTTAAAGACTGTGGGAGACCAACATGAAGTTGCCTTTGATCTAATTGAGCTTGTTTACCATAGTGGCAGGACTAGCATTTTGAACATGTTCTGTAATTGTGTTATTTTCCTTCTTACTTGAACGTGTGATCGATCAGCTTATGCTCCCTGAGCAGTGGAGGGCGTCTTAATAATTTCATGTGTTTGTCAACTTAGTGGTTCCTACCTGCTGTGCTGTGCTGATGGAATGTATGAGACTTCCATTTCCCATTTTTTCCTTTTCTGGTAATTTGGTAAGTAAAGACAAGCCAGAATTTGGTGTGGAAAGATGAAGATTCTCGATGAAACAATGTACAAAAGTGCAGTTGGTTTCAGAACTAAACATATGAAAGAGGAGAAAGCCTATAATCCTGGAAGCGTTTTTAGTTTTTGGAGAATTGGTAATACCAGCTCAGAATTCTGAGGCGGAGGCACGAACGACGAAAGGAGACGGCAGCTGCAGCATCTCCCCAAACAGCAGGCCCCTGCCCAGGGACCCCAGACAAGAGCTGCACCTTGGAGGGCAAGAACCGTACCTGGGAGAAGTCACAACAGGGGCTGCCTCTGGGGAGTGGGCTGGACTGAGTGGGAAGCAGGATAGAGCTTTCTGGGGTCATGTGTCCTTGAAAGGGGGTGGGGTTACACAGGGGTCAGCATTTGTCCCTTAAGATTTGTGCCTTTCACTGTACGCACATCTTACCCATCCGCCAAAAAAGGAAACAAACCAATGATATGCACAAGGAAGAGTTTAGGGGTGTGTACTGTCTACAATATACTTTGAAATGCATCAAAAATAGGATGGATGGAGGAATGGAGAGTTATGTGACACACAAATATAGCAAAATGGTTAACTACAGAATTTAGATGGAAGGCATACAATTATGTCAATTTCTCTGTATGTCTGAAAATTTTCATAATAAATACTGGGGCATGGACACAACTTTGCTATTTTGGCAAATGAACTTCTGAAATCCAGAAACCATGCCCTTCCCTCCAGGCCTAGGGGAGCTGTCAGTTTCTAACCTTGACAGGTACTGTATTCCTGTACACTTGCTACTTTTAAGTACAGAAACACTAGGATTTTGCATGTATAATACCACTACAGACTTTTAAAAACCTAAGTTTTGACATCTTGAGTCCAGGGAGTTATACTTGCTGCGTTACAAACTCGAATGCGCCCAAGGTGGCTTCTGATGTATGAAATCCCAGTGCTCAAGGGACTGGGAGGAAGAGTATCTCTATTTTCACAAGCCATCAGGTTTTCCCCAAAGACATACTGAGCCTAAATTTTCCCCAGGACCTTGATGGAACAGTTTTGGACACAGAACTTTAAAGCAAACAAGAGGGAGTGGCAGAGGGACAGGCCCCCAAACCCTATTCCAACCCTTGCTCTGGAGCCAGAACACCTCCCTCCAGGGACCAACCTCCCCCCGCCCCCCACTAGAAACCTGACCTCACCCCCCTGACCTGCTTCCCCATTTCCCTTCTTGGAGAAACTCAAGCCAGAAGGACAAGGGAGCCTCAGACTTGGATCCTGGTCTCCAACAGTTTCTGCGAGCAAAAGGAAAATACAGGTGGCCATACCCCACTTTCTTTTAAAACAAGGAATCTGGGAGTAATTACCATGTGGAGTCTCTCTCAAGGGTTCCTCCTGGGCCCATAGGGACAGGGTGAACAGTAGTGTTTCCCAGAGAACCAATTTTACTTGAAGATTGGGGGAAAATTATTTGAAAGGATTGTTTTTATATTAAGATATTATAAAGTAGAAAATTCTTATTGCCTTTCTTTATAGGGTTTGGATTAGGGTTTGGGGTTAAAGTTAGGGTTAGTATGAAGGTACAGGTGAACACTTTCATTAAAATAGGAAATTATAAAGAAATTTTGCCAAGCCCTGATAAACTATACCCCTAAACTCCCAAGGGTACATGTTTTACTCTTTTACCATTGAGAAAACTTCACTGGAAAATCTGGAAAAGCATTGTTGCTAGATGAAGAACTCACACTGTAGATAGCGGTTACTTCTGGGGCAGGGAGGACAATGGAAGGGGATTTCCAGGCTCACACTACAGCTTTGGGTCTTTTTCCTGTGTAACCAAAAAAAAAAAAAAAAAGGTAAACAAATGGAACTAATAAAAAATGCAGATTATTTCAATCAAACATTGCAGGGTTTGAAGAGTCAAGAGAGACTCCATATGAAAGCCGAAATCAAGGACCCCGGGACCTGGATATTTTGGGACATAAAAAAAAAAAAAAAAGACAAAAAGAAAAACACAGTAAAAAGTAAATACATATGGCTTCTGGGGGAAAAAAACCAGGGTGCTTCTGGATGATGGGTGGCCCGGAGCCTCACTAAGCACAGGTTAAGTTTTAGGAACCTCTTGGTGAGAGGACCCCTGCACACCCCAGTCCAAGGTCTATGGGGGCAGACATTGACCCAGGGTGAGCTCCATCTGGTGAATGAGACCACCCAGGTTTCCAGGGTGGGCAGTGTGGAAAGAGCAAGGCCATCTGAGTTAGAGACTATGCTCCTGGCTGTGGGGCTTCAGGCAAGCCATTCTCTAGACCCCAATTCCTCACCTCTCAGGTAGCTTTAACACTCTGCAGAGGGTACTGTGAGGTGGTATCTACTATATGTGACAACCGGATGCATTCTGGGTCCTCAATAAACATCACTCTACTGCTTTCCCCAGTGCAGTGTAGTAGAAAAAAATCTTTCAAAACACTGGCAAGAGTGGGAAATGATAAAAGGGGCATTTAGGGACAAGGGGCCCAGAAACTGGGGCACCAATTATATACCAAGCTACAGTGAGTGTGGCCACAGGGGCAACAAGGAGCCGGCCTCTCAGAGGCCATGAGCGCTGTCTGCCACCAGGGGCTGGGGAGGCACCTGGCTCAGTTTCAGACCATGTGATTACACAGGAAGAGAGCCTTGTCAACCTAGTGTTTAAAGACACAACAGCAGGGTAAGCATTTCAGTTATTTTTAGTTAAAGAAAAACAGCTTTTTCCAAGGGCAACAAAGTGAACTGAAGGTCAGAAGGAAGCTGGGTGTGGGCTTCTCACAAGCTCTTGCTCCAAAACCTGGAAGTGAGGAAAGAGGGCCCTCCTGGGAACTCTGGGGAGACTGGCGCAGCAGGGGGATTCCTTTGGTGGGGTGGGCAGAGCTGCCAGCCCTCCCATGGTCACTGGATTGATCTGCGTCGGCTCTAAGGCGATTTCCACGTGCCAGTCTGCTGACATGATGAACATTATTCTTGGGGGGCATTAAATTAAGGAATGACACAAAGAGCCAAGAGAGTGGCTTATTCGGTTGGATTCTGAATCACAATCAGGAAATAGTCTTTATCTGCAAAAGAAAAAAAGGAAAAAAATCACTAAATGTCAAATGAGAGAAAAACATAACAGAGCAACTACATAATTGAATCACTAACCATAAAACGGGGGGAGGGGAGGAGAGCAATAAAAAGTATCAGTGCTCTGGCTAATTCCACTTGCTGGGAAAACAGAAGATAAACTTGCAAGTTTCCTGTGGGACTCCTGCAAGCGGAGTCTCGCCCTTTCCCGGGCAGCGGCCACGCTGCAGCACATCCTCTGTTCTGATCCTCCCCACAAGAGTAACACCAAGGGCAACACACGTAACCTAAACGTATGTACACCCATAATTTGCTGAAAAAAAAAAAAAAAAAAAAAAAAGAGTAACATCAGACAGGCAGGACACTCATCCCTGTTTCCCGGGTGGGGACACTCAGGTTCAGAGAGTTTCAATGAACTGCCTAAAGCAGCGGTTCCCAAACCCCAGGGCGTCCCAATCACCTGGTGGCTGCCGGGCTCCACCCCCAGAGGCACCGATTCAGTGGGGCTGGGTGGAGCCCAAGAATTTTCATTTCTAACAAGTTCCCAGGTGATGCTGCTGCTGCAGGCTCTGAGAGAACCTTTAGCTTGAGGTTACCCAGCTAGTTGGTGTCAAAGATGGAATTCCAACCATAACCTCACTGGTCTTGGGTTAATGTCAGTTTTTGTTTCAAGCTCAGTTGCTGGCTTTCCGGATCCTTCGGGACAAGAAAATTTCAAAGGCACTAGGTCAAAAAGAGACAAAGCTGCCTGGATACCAACTCCACTAAGAAATGTCCACCATAAAATCACAGTAAGTACGAGTCCTCAGAGGGTAAGTATGACCGCCTCTCATTTTATAGAAGGGGAACTTGGAGAAGCAGGGTCTTTCAACTTTGCCCACTTAATAATCAAACCACAAACATTTACCAAGGCTTCTATGTGTCCTGGGTCAACCGCTTTCATGTGGCACCTCAATGAATTCTCAAATCACTCGGAGAACACTGGGGCTCAGAGAGTTAAATGACTTGCCCAAGCCAAGGTAAATATATGGGTGGGGGTGGGATGGGGATGGGGAGGCTGGGTTTGACCCCAGACTCTAAACTCCTCTGTCTGCTGCCCCCTGCTGAGCATGAGAGAAATGGCAAGACCTCAGCCATGTCTGCTTTGTGGCTGTTCAGATTCAAGCCTAAAGCTTGGTTCTTCCCACTATGATGGGTTGTTGCGACTAGATAAGAAACAGAAATTAAATGACCGACAGTTCCATGGCTAAGCAATCTGCATAGATTAAAAAATCACTAATAAAAATAGAAATAATTGGCTGGGCATAGTGGTTCATGCCTCCCATGCAGTGGGAGGCCAAAGTGGGAGGATCGCTTGAGGCCAGGAGTTCGAGACCAGCCTGAGCAAGACTGAAATCCCGTCTCTACAAAAAAATAGAAAAATTAGCCAGGGGTGGTGGTGTATGCCTGTAGTCCCAGCTACTTGGGAGGCTGAGGCAGGAGGATCGCTTGAGCCCAGACGTTTGAGGTTGCTGTGAGTTATGATCATGCCACTGCACTCTAGCCCAGGTGACAGAGTGAGACTCTGTCTCAAAAAAACTTTAAAAAAAGAAATAATTAGCAAGTTCATTGATATAAACAGACACAATAATACCAGTGTCTTTTATTCCAAATTATCAAGCTCTAAATCCAATAATACCACCTCAAGTGCTTTGTGAGAATTAGCATGTCAGAAGTTGTTTACACTGAGTTTCCTCAGCTTTATTTTGGTGACGTGAGTAAGTGAACACCAAAACTCTTGTCTTAAAATGTCTCTTCACATGGGCTGTTCTGGGCTAGGATGGGGTGAAATGTGGTACATATGTGTTCAGCCAAACTGTCTGAAACCACCTGCTATTTGTGGCCTGGGAAGCAGCTTCTCAGTTGGATCAATGAGTCAGATTAGGTGGGTAGGAAGGGCCACAGATGTCCTTCCTGGGCTGGGCTGCTCCGCTTGCTCACCATGTGTAGGGTGCTAATTACAGTCCCACGGGGCCACCTCACACACGATAGCTAGGCCTGTTTGGCTGGGGGCTGCCCCGGGGGCCATGCTCTATGGCAATCCAGCCTTAATGCCTCCAAGGCTCTGGTCAGTGGTCCTGCCCACAGGAGTTCTGGCATCAAAACCCAGTATTTTTTGTTGGCCATACCACAGTGGGTGTGTCCAAGTGTGAAATCACTGTTTTTTATCCTAAATCCCATGGCCCGGACATCCCTGTCCCCATCCTCACTGCTAACCCACCGCTAACACAGCAGTGGGGTATCAGCAATGGAGGAGGTTCAGGAAGTCATTCATTCATTTATTCAGCAGCTATTTGTTAAATGCTTACAAGTCCCTGCCCTCATGGAACTTACTGTCTAGCGGAGAAGACAGACTTAAAGACACAGATAAGCATCTGGTTAGCCAAGTGACAAGGGTGGAATGTTCTGGGCAGCAGGACAGCATGCGGGAGGGCCCCAGGGAGAGGGGTTTGAGGTTCTGAGAGGCAGCTGTGAGGCTAATCTGAAGAAGCACTCACTGAGTTGAAGACAACCCCAAAGGTGTCACACAGCCTCCAGCAGGGCAAGGTGTGTGTGTGTGTGTGTGTGTGTGTGTGTGTGTGTGTGTGAGAGAGAGAGAGAGAGAGAGAGAGAGAGAGAGAGAGAGAGAACACGCACACGAGCCTCCTTGCCTCCACTGACTAGGCTGTGGGCTCTCTGGGCCTGTGACCCGCCCTCCCGAGGAGAACCCCTAACTTGGGAGCTGCCCACTTTGAACTCAAGCACCAACCACACTCATGGGCTCTGAATGCCTGCAGGTCCTCAAGGCCAAGCTGGAGACACCTCTGCTGCCAAGCTGAGACGTGGACGGCCAGGCGCTTTCAGGTGAGTCTGCCCTTCTAGAGGAGACGTTCTCAGAAGCTTTAAGCCATGAGAATGTCCACTGGAGAGTTTGCCTAATTTGGAGACCCATCTACCCTTACCTCACACTCTGAGCTCCCAGGTGGGCCACTGGGGAGCACAAGGTTGGCTCTGACATGCAGGGTGAGTAGAGGGACGATTCCTGGCCTGACTTTTAGGGAAGTGAAGCTTTGTCTTCTGTAGTCACACAACATGAAGTCTTGGGAAGGATTTCAATTCAAATTTGATTCCAAGGCTTTTATCCTCAACCCAAGCCAACACACTCAACCAGACAGGGGGGTCTTAGGAGACCAGAGCAGCACGGTCCCCTACCTAACATTTTATGGATGTGGGCATGGAGGTGTTCTGTGACTTGCCCAAAGTCACGCTTATAAGGGATAAAGCCGGGAAAACAGATTCTGTGCCTCCTGCAGTCTCTTCCCTGACGGATCAGGCATCGGTTGGCAGGGGATGCATTAAACAGTGTACAGCATATTTTTGAAATAAATGGCTCTGAAGTTATCCTTATGTTCTTCTTTGTGACTGATGTGCTCTGTTCTCGCTCCTCTAGGGAGTGTCCCAGGGAGACTGGGCTCCCTGGGTGTGGGCTCCTGTGACTGGCTCTATGGTTCTTTCCTTCCCATCCCTCTAGGAAGGTGGGCTGGGCTGGAGCAGGCTGGGGACAGAGCTAATGTCGGTGTGTTGCTGGGAGTGGCTGACCCCCCATCAGCCTCAGATTCTGCAGCCTCAGATTCTTCACCATCCGTATTGCCAAGCCCAAGCCCAGGGGCACTCTTTGTCCCCAGACTCCCCACTGCCTTCCTTGATCCAGGCCATAATCACAACCATATAACTTCCTGCCCTAAAAACCTCTGCTCACAGGATCAAGTCCACATAGCTGAGTTTGGTGTTCATGGCCACTTCTAAACTGGACCAAAGTCTCACCTCCCACGCCTTCCCACACACTCTGATGTCCCAGATAAGCTGCACTGCAACCTAAGTGCACCATCACGTGCGCCAGTGACTCCTGCACTCTCAACTCCGTGGCTCAGCTGAAGAAGGGCACGGGAGAGAAAGAAGTAATGACAGAAACCATCCTGGAGGATCTGCCATTCTGTGCCCTGAGTGAGAGTGAGGGGAGGCAGGGCAGGAGAGGTGGCCCTGCTGTTCCCGCCTGGGCTCCCAGTCCTGGGGGCTCCTCCCAGGATGAGCATCTCATCACCCTGAGAATGGTGCTAAGGCCTAAAGACAAGCTTCGGTGGTGCCACACTGCCCCCCGTGCGAGCCAAGCACTTCGTGTAAAACACACACGGCAATCTATTCCAGTGCTGGAGGAAAAGCCAGTATATGGGGCCTAGAGAGACAGGACTGTCCTTTACGAGAGGGCAAAGAACAATTTTTCAGGGATAAAATGACTATGTGGTATTTTTGCTTTACGTTTAGGTTCAGAATCACTGAATTCTTTTTCTTCCAAACATGGCTTTTCTGCCCCTTCACCTTGCGCACACTCTTTCCTGGCCCTCAAGATTCAGCTCCGATGTCCCCTCTTCTGGGAGGCCTTTGCCAACGGCCTCCTCTGTCTCAAATGCCCCTGTGAATTTCCCCGTGTCAGGGCAGAGGTGATGCTGTGTTATGCTATCTCCCCCAGGAGACCGGGACTCCCCTCTGTGGCCCAGAGTCACTGTGAGGATTTGACGGGGGACATTAGCTGAGGGCTGGCTGGGCAGTGAGGTATCAGCTCAATTTCTTCAACTTCTCACACCCTTCTTGGACCCTCTGGAGACACCAATGTGCCAGGCCTTCCTCATGAGCCATGGAGAATGTGCTGTGAGGGTCTGCTCCTAAGTGGGGAGGTGGAAGACCCCTTACCTGGTGCAACCATAATTTCATTTTTCTTGGAGCGAATTCGAAGAAAGGTGAGGTCATTCTGGGGGTCAATTTCACGCACAGTGCTCCGCGCTTTCAAGATGAAGTTGTGCATGAGGTTGGCGTACTGTGTAGTGGTGGGATTGTCCATGGTGCTCTTGATGGGAATGCCTGAGGGGAGAACAGACAGAGACTGAGCAGGACGTTGGAGCCCCTTTCTGCCAAGCTCCCACCCCACACCCCTAATTCTAGAGCACTGGGCTGGCAGTTAACAATCGCTGCCACTATTCACAGAGGGCTTGCTATGTGACAGGCACAGCGCTGAGCACAAGTATGTCAGCACCAGGCCCCAGAACTACTCTGTGGGTGGTACCACTTCATGAGTCAATTAGGCAACGGGAGCACTAAGCAGCGAGGTGACCTGTCTGTGGTCACACAGGAGGTAAGCAGTGGGGCAGGGCTCACACAGGGTCTGCTGGCTCCACCACTGGGCTCCTTTCCCAGGGCTGTGCTGCCTAGACTGGCTTCCAGCAATGAGAGGAGAGACTGTCATTCGTAATGCTTAGAACCCAAACCAGGAAGACAGCTCTTAAAATTTCTAAATACTGAAAAGTGGGAATAAGAAAAAAAGGTCAACTTGTTCTAGGACATAACCACCGCCATTTCCATCCAGGGAGGCTCACAGCCTAGCTGTAAACACACTGTCTACACACGTAATTGTGCCCTCAAATTAAAGTGTGTTTCTGTCTATATTTAACCTTTGTAAACAGCACTGCTGCCTCTTTCAAAGAGCCCACGATGTGGACAGTCCACAGAGTTGACCATTTTGTTGTTGGGTACTCAGGCCGAGTTTTTTACAGTAAAATCAACTGCATAATGAGTACCACGGTACACCAAGCCTTTGGTTTTGAGGATTGCTTCCTTGAGATGGACTATTAAATGGACCTGCTCACTGGACAGTGCCTACTGTCATGGAGGTGAGGAATGTGGCTCAACTTGAGCCCCAGGCCACAACTGGGTCATCAGGTGCCTGTGACTTGGCTGTGACATATCAGCAGAAGGCTCCCTCCATGAGCCCACCAGCTAACAGTCACTTGTGAAGAATGTGGCTCCTCACACACAAGTAGCCCGATTTTGGGCCCAGGACCTGCTAATCTGGCCCATAACTGACCAGCCTAGGGATCACCAAAGGCAGTCATTCTCAGGCCTGTCCACTGGGTGGCAAGAAACTGGCCCAACCTTGTCTTCTTAGGGCACCAGGAACACGGTCAGTTGTGGCCCAGATCAGCAGGGTCCTGGGCCCAAAATCTGACCTAGGCTTACACCCTGGCTCTGCCCCTTCACAGCTCTGTGGCCTTGGCAAGTGGTTTAACCTCTCTAGCCTCCATTGCCCCATCTGTAAAATAATGCCTATGCTTCAAAGTGCTGCTGTGAGAACTGCGTATGGCTTAATTCATTTAAGAATGTTTAGAAAGAGTACACACTTAATAAATGTTAATTTTTTATCAATGCCACCCACATAATAAATCCCATTCCCAATAACCTTAAGCCTGCAAGGGCCTTGCTAACACACAGAGCCCACCCACTGAGGGCCAGAACCAGAGCTAGGATGGAGCCCAGGGTTGACTGTTCCTGCTCCCTGGCCAGGGACCCTCCCCTCAGCTCACCTTTGGGCCCTGAGGGTAAGAGGCCTACCAGTCTCAAGGCATGGCAAGGTTTAGGTGATTAGACCCCTTGACCTTCTCTTTTTATACAATGCAAGGCCACCTTCTTGCAGATCCCTCTGCCTGGAACTTTCCTTCCTTCCCCTATTCACTCATGGCTCCCACTGGCCCCTCATGTCTCCACCTTCTGCAGTCGCCTTCTCTCCAGTGGTCGTCAGTGCCCCCACTCTACAGTCCCAGCACTGTGCAGTTTTCCTTTAGGGTGATGTCACACTGTTACAGAAGTGACGTTATGTCCCTCCCCACCACAGTGTAAGTTCCCTGTGGACAAGACCAAGCCCAATTTGCTCACTAGTATCCCTGAAGAGACTGCATTAGGCAATTGTGGGGTGACCCTGGGCATGGCCTGACCTCGTGGGATGTCCACATGTCTGTCTGTAAAGGCGGGAGCAATGAACTAAGTAAGGCATGTGAAGTGTTTATAATGGTACCTGGAAAAGGGTATTATTATTTTCAATCATGTTAGCTATTATAGGCATTATTACAATTATTAATCTAATGATTATAGCATCTAATGTGCTTGCGAAAATTTGTTTTTTTTCCTTTGGGATTATTTCCTTTGAACATATTCCTCAAAGTAGAATTACCACATATCAAAGGGACTTGTGGCATCACTGACTGCGGTTTGTTCATTTAACAAACATTCACTGACCCGAATATGGTGCATGTGCTGTATGGACGCTGGGAACAGAGGTGAGTCAGACACCGTTCTGGCCTGGCCTTTACTAGCCAAGGTGCTGCTATCAGCAGCAATGTCTCGGCGTTCCTGTCCCCCCCCAGCCTCACACTGCATTATGTTATTTTTGTATACTCTAGTAAGGTAGTTTTTAAATTGGTCAAACCCTTTCCCCAAATTAAAACTAATGCAGAGATACAAGCTAATGGATCTGATTGGGGCTGCTCTGACTGAAGTGGAAAACAGGACCTGGGCCTCCATCTCTACTACTAGGGGCAGCAAAGAACCCCAGGGCTTAAGGAACAAAGCCCTAAAAATACATCCTAGGCAGTCTCTCTGAGGGAAAGCCTTCAGATGGATACAGATCTGCTCTGAGTCTTAGGCTTGTGGCTCTCATTGCAGCCTCTTCTGGTTAGAATCTATTCTCTAAAGCAGAATTTTCTCAACTTATCTGATCAAAAGAATCTCCTGGTGTACTTGGTAAATACACAGACTTCCCAGGTCTCACCATAGTCCTAATAAATCAGACTTTCTAGTGCAGAGGCCTGGAAAGCTGTATGTTCAACAAGAGCCCCAGGCGATTCTAATGAATGGATAAATTTGGGAACCACTGTGGCCTAGAGGCATGAAGCATGTGGATTCTCCCAACCCAACAGGGGAAGTTGACGAGGTAATTGGGTTTGTATAAACAAATGTGTCCCAGCCCAAAACTGATGGTGATAATACTGTACTAAATGCTGTACATTGTTCATTCTTAGTTAATCTTTCCAGCCTATACAGTAGATATAATTATTATCCACATTTATAGGCTTAAGTAACTTGCCCAAGGTTACAAAACTAATCAGGAGAAGAGGCAGGATTCAAACTCACAACTGCTGGATTCTGGAGCCCCTGTCCTTACCGTTGCCTAGAGCATCAGGGCCTGGGGCCACAGACCAGCAGCTACCCTCTGGTTTTTCACAGCACAGTGTGGGAGAAAGCACACATGTACTCAGACAGACTTGGATTTACATCTCGGCTCTAGGATGGCAGGCGAATCAATTAAATTTCTAGACTCAGTTGTCTCCGCTGCGAAATGGAAACAAGGGGGCTGCTTTAAGGAATAAATGAAACAGTATGTTTGTAAAGCACCAGCCAGAGACCTGGCACAGAGCAAGTGTGTGATAAATGTTAGTTCCCTTCTTTACCATGTGTGATTTGGGAAAACTGGTACCTGTACCCTCTTTCTAGTTGCTCAAATTATCTCCCAGAAGAGGGGGGAGAAACTGTAGGTACAAAGAAGTCGACTAGAGAATTATCTAGCAAAAAAGCAGAATCAACACAAATGGGTACATAATACTCACTTAATGGGTTCATACAGAAGTAGAAACAACATAAATAGGTTAATGAACATTGTGCTGGCACTTAAAAAATTTGCTTATGTAAACCATGAAGCAATATTTAAAAAACCTCATATGTAAACATATGCAAAACAATAACAACTATGATTATGACCATCCCAAACTGTGCCTGGACAAGGCTGAAAAAGCATGGAATACTGAAGAGTATGATCTGTCAGGGTAGTGGGACTGAGTGGCTTTTTCCTTTGTTTAGAACACTGGAGGTGTTAAAAAAAAAAAAAAAAAAAAGCTTAAAATTACATCAGGCACACGAAGGGGCTTAGTAAACAGGAAGGGTATGCTGCGTTTGGGCTGTTTCCGGGGCCTTTCTGGGTACGGGTCATGGTGGGAGTGGGGTGTACCTTCTGTGTTCACCACGATGATTCCTTGCACTCCCTTCTGGCTCTGAAGTCGCTTCAGTGTCTCCTCCACCTCCGCCTATCAGAAAACAAGACCAAGGTTAGGAGGGATCACTAGGCTGGATTAACTTCCTCATAACCCAGGCAGATGAATCACACATTTGTCTTCCAATAACAAACAAGTAATACTTGGGCACTTGGCTCCTACTCAAAGCTCTCCAGGCCACCACCACCAGCACCTAGAGCATCTGCTCACACCTCCCGCAGGGAGGCGGCTGCTTCTGGCCCTTTGTCCACCAGGCACTATTATCCCTGCCCCCCTCAGCTATTTGGGAGCAGGATATGAATGCATATATACACATCCATAACTCATATATTTGGTATAGCAGGGGACAAGACTCTGATGATTTGAAAAAACCCAAACAGTAGTGTCTAACAGGAAGAAGACACTTGGCCATTTGTGGCCCAAACAGCACAACTGAAAACATTCCAAAGGAAGCAAAATGACCCCATGAGAGTAGGACTCAGTGACTTAACAAACTGGCATCTAAGATAATGTGACACATGGCATATAGCCACAAGAAGTGTGCCTTAGGAAGGGGCTCATCAATCCTGATTTTCCAGAAACTACTCAAGGTGGGATACTCTGGCACATGACATTCATAAACAGAGGAGACAATCAGATGTTTGGGTCCTCACCTTGCCATGCAAGGCCTTTTACATTATCACTCCCACCTTCTTTACCTTTCCCTCCACTCTCCATCTACACGCTCACACCTCCCCACCTCCGTATCTTTTTACCCTACAAGGGCTCTTCTCTGCTGAAATCCAATGAATTCTTCTAGACCACCTAAGACATCACCTCCTCCCCAAAGCTTTTACTGATCCCCCAATTCAACAGAGTTTTTGCCTACCTCTGATTCCCCAGACCCTTGGCTGTGCCTCTCTGGGACATGTATTAGGTACTGTGCCTAATTACTTAGAGACTCTACAATGGCCTGCAGAGTAGGAGCATAATAAACAGCTGCTTAACTGAACCAGGCCTAATTCTTCCTGTGGATGGAAACTGGCCTTGAAGTGTGCTTGTTTTCAGGAGGCCCTGTCCAGACTGGTCTAGAATCCAATCAGAAGCTCCTCGAAGGCTGAGAGCTATTAGAAACAGAGGCTCCATTCACCAAAAGAAAATGGTTCCCCACCCCCAGGGGCTAACGATTTGGTGGTGGGGGGGGATCCTAAACATAGGGTGGAGACAGCACAATGAATTCTTTTTCTGGAAGGCACAAGGCTAACAATCACTGCCACCCACTCCCCTGTGATGTAAGAATACTCTCAAATGCTAGAGCGAAGGGGAAACAAGTTCCTCCTATAAAACGGCAAATAGCCTGATGCCTCTAAAATCTGGAGCCTGGGTAAAATAATAGGGCCCCGTGGACGTGAGAGTACAATACAGTGGTTCACGCATGTGTGAGATCTTAAGTAACGCGACAGGCTTTCACTGAGCTCCTACTGTGTGCCAGGTGCTATTCTGGGCGGGTGGTTAAGCACAATAGTGCTCAATACTATCTAGTACTCAGTCTGACATGGAAACTATTAGGGTGGAAAGGCTTACCAGGTGATCATGGCGTGGGTGTAGAAAGATTTCTCACACAGAGATTGAGATATATAAGTAAAATTTATTTTATTATTTAGAAGGAGAGAGACTGTGAGAGAGAGGGGGCGGGGGTGGAGGGAGGCAGAGAGCAGAGAGATGGCGTGGCATCCTAAAGAAAGAGAAAGGAGATGTCAGCAGTGAGGCCAAGTGGCTTGCTGATTTTAAGGGGCACGAAGAGAAGAAAAAAGTGATGGCAGGTGATAACAAAAGTGGATAACAAAAACTGTAAGGATGTCAAAGTCCAAGACTTTGTTTCCTGCCTTTCTTTGGAAAGGAAAGGAGAAGGGATTATCAGAGACGTGACTCTGTCCTTGAGATATGGTTGAGGCTGTAGCTCATTCTCCTGCTATTTACTCTGGAGCTCTATAAAAGCAGATTCTCAAAAAAACAATTTTGAAAGAGAGAGATTTACATCTCTTTTCCATTCATTCAGCTTTTTCAGAAGTTGTATAAAACAGAACTCCTGCAGGGTACCTGTTAGTGAGACAACTCATAGGATTGATCTCTAACTGTTCCTGGGGAAATTGTAGGATTAGGTATTTTTCCTATGTGGGATTAGGTATTTTCCCGTTATTTTTGTAAGACTGCCCCTTTCAGAAACTCTCTTGGAAATTCATCCTAAGGTAAGGAAGTAATTCAAAAGACACAGCAAGATGTTTGCTGCAGTGAAATCTGCAATAGCAAAAAGCAGAAAGAACTAGAAATGCTCAACAATCAGGGGAAAGGCCAAGTAAATTATCCACACATGGGAATATAAAACACATAAACAATGGTGATGAGAGACCATGTTATACCACCACAAAAAGTTTGTGCTACAACGTTAAGTGAAAACAGTAAAATGCAAAGAAAAAGTGCATGGTGAGTGTAACCACGTGAAAACAAGAGGGCTGGAGGAGATTATGAAAAAAATAAAAAGCCACATTAAAAGCAAGGAATTTTAGATAAGATTTTATTTTGTTTTCAAAAAATTGTTGTTTCTATTTAATAACATTTTAACCACCACCCCCCAGCTGCCATGTATCCAAGAGATAAGTCTATGATATAGGGGCTATAGGGATCTGACATGCTCGACATCATAATAAGAATACGTAAGAATAATTTGGATGACAACGTAGGATAGCTCAATCAATCTGCAATCAACCCAGGAAAGAAAGGGGAAAGAATGTTAAAACCAAAGATGTCAGAATCCAGGTCCAAAATATCCCCCAGATATTTTCAAATGAAAAAGATGAAACTTAATAACTTTATGGGCACCTTCTATGTGTCAGACATCATTTTAGGCCTGGGGATGCTGTAGTGAACAAAATATAACACAATTTTCTGCCCTTGTGAAGCTGACATTTGTGGGAGTGTTGAAGGTGGATCAGACATTAAACAACAAAAAGGAAGCTAAAAAAAAAATGTCAGCTACAGTAGGGAAGGGGGATCTAGATGATGGGAATATTAAATAACATCATGAGAGAAGGCCTCATAAGGTGATAGCTGAGTAGAGCTCTGAAGGAAATGAAGGAGCCAGCCATGCAGATTTCTGGAAACTATTCCAGACAGCACAAAGAGCTAAGTACAAAAGCCCTGGGTTGGGAGAGTGTCTGGCATGTTCAAGAAAAAGCAAAGGAGCCAGTGTGGCTGCAGGGCAGTGAGCAAGGGAAGAGTGGGGCCCGCAACCAGGACCGGATCATAGTGGGCCTGGCAGACCAAGTAATGACTCTGGTTTTTGCTGGGTATGATTTGTGGAGCCGTAAGTTTTGAGGTAAAGAATAATAAGATCTGATGTTTCAAAAGGATGGCCCTGGCTGCTGTGTGGAGAACGGACGGCAAGGGACAAACGCAGCCTGCCAGGAGTCCTGGCCTCCAGCCCCTGCCCTTGTCAGGTCCTGTTTCCTGTCTGAAGGAAACAAGCCTCTCTCCCTCCTCTCCCTCGTGCACTGCTTGATGTAACTAACTCCCAACCCGCTGGACTCAGCTCCCCGGCCTCCTGTGGGAGGCCTTCTCTGAAATCAGCCCCTCTTCTGGGCACCTGTGGCACCCAGCCTTCGCAGACTTATCACAATGGGGTGTCACTGTCTGTCTCACAAGTATCTCCTCCTCAGACTCCAGGCACCCTGGGAGCAGGGACCCAGACTTTATAGCTCCAGTATTGGGCAAAGGATAGACTCAATAAATACTGAAGGAACAAATGAAAAGCATTTCTGCAACTTTGTGTCACAAAATCAACCTTTTTAAGTACAGGAGCGGGGGCATGGCCTTAGAGTACCCAGTGTAAAAAAGAGCTAAGGTTGAGGTGATCCTAAGTTTAATGAGAACCATCCACTGAGATCTGGCTGTTTAAAAAGTAAACACACACCTACCAGGAACAGGAGGACACACTGGTAAACATTTATCTACTCAGTACCTACTATGGGTCATATATTGCTTTGAGACACATGCTCTCGCCTGAGCCTCTCATTCACCTTGCATGGTTAGTATGATCTCCATGTTATAGGAAACATGGTTCAGAAAGGAGAGGAGTTTTGCCTAAGAACACACAGTAGGTCAAGAGAAGAGCTGAATATATTTAATACCAATGACCACAATGATGAGGTCCCTGCCTTCACGGAGCTCACATTCTGGGGGAAGAGACTTACAAAAACAAAACAAAACAAAAAAAACAAGTAAGCAATATTCTTGTAGGGTACAGGGACTGGGTTGGGGGCAGAGGATGCCACTTTGGCTAGTGTGGTCAGGAATAGCTGAGCACGTAATCTTTAAGCTAAGAACTAAATGATGAGAAAGAAATGCACTCAAGGCAATGGGTTCTCTAGTTCCCGGGTGCATGTATAGTGGCAAATGGAAGAACAAGCAGCACCATGTGCAAAAAATTTAAGAAAAACTTTTAAAAAAAGAAAAGAAAAAACAAGCAGCCATAAAGCTCCAGGATTATTTATTTCCTTAAGCATAGGAGTGATAACCACCTGAAGCAAATGATTCAGGAAGGAACTGTGACCAATCTGACCACTAAGCATAAAGCTTAACTTCTGTAAAACAATAATCAATCAAATAGGACAGAAAAATATTTGCATCAAATATAACAGACAAAAGTAATTCTAAAAACATCACATAAAATGATTAAGAAAAATAGCAAGTCTCTAATAGGTTGGTGGGCAAAAAGGATACACCTAAGAGAAATTACAAACACAACAAAATGACCATAATTCCTTGTAAACAAAGGAATGAAAAATTACACCGGTGCTGAGGTTTCTTTTTAAATGTTGGCATTTTTATGGCAAACGGCACAAGGGCAAAACGACCTTTTGGGAAAGCTACAGGATGATATATTGCAAAGATCATAAAAGTATTTGTTTCTTTGCCTCAGAAATTTTTTTCCTGAGAAATTATCCTGAGGAAATACTCTAATAAGCTAAAAACCAAAACAAAACAAACTATACACACACAGAAGCATCATCACAGCATTATCTCTACTAACTAAGAACTGGAAGCAATCCAAATGTTCACAAAATTATAGTATAACTATTTCACTGACTATTATGTTGTCACTAAATAGTTCATGACAAAGATGATATAGCAACAAGGTTAAATGTTTTGGGTCATTAAAACAAACACAAAAGAAAAAAACAAACAAAAAAACCCCAGCAGGCGTATCTGAAAAATATGCACATGTGAACAAAGAGGAAGGGGAACATACAAAGATGAAAAGAGTTGTGAGGAGGAGTAAAACTGGATGAGGAGAATTATGGATGATTTTTATATCATTGTTCTAAAGGGCAATTTCCACCAAAATGTAAAATATGCAAGCCAGAAGTGCCACATCCAGGAATCCATCCTACATAACCGCTAGCATGAGTGCAAAAAACACAAGCACAGTCACTGTAGCATTGTTGGGAGTAAAAATCTATAAACCATCTGAATGTGTATAGGGGAACAGGATACCATACAGCCCTTAAAAAGAATGAAGTAGGCTGGGCGCGGTGGCTCACGCCTATAATCCTAGCTCTCTGGGAGGCCGAGGCGGGCGGATTGTTTGAGCTCAGGAGTTCGAAACCAGCCTGAGCAAGAGCGAGACCCCCGTCTCTACTACAATTAGAAAGAAATTAATTGGACAACTAAAAATACATAGAAAAAATTAGCCGGGCATGGTGGCGCATGCCTGTAGTCCCAGCTACTCGGGAGGCTGAGGCAGGAGGATCGCTTGAACCCAGGAGTTTGAGGTTGCTGTGAGCTAGGATGACGCCACGGCACTCTAGCCCGGGCAACACAGTGAGACTCTGTCTCAAAAAAAAAAAAAGAATGAAGTACATCTGTGTATAATGACACAGAAAAATGATTTTTTAAGTGAATAGAGCAAGTTGCAGAATGAGATATATATTCATATAGCTTAAAATAAACTTAACATGTATAAATATATATATATTCCAGTTTCATGTAATAAGCAGTTTATATATAAATGTGTTTATGTATCAAACAAATCTGGAAGGAAACATACTCAACTGCCAACAGTAGTTACTATGGGGAAGCAAGATGGGGACTACATGCATTTTCTACATTATATACTATAATACAAAACTATAGCAACCAAAACAGCATGGTATTGATATAAAAACAGACACACAGACCAGTGGAACAGAACAGAGAACCTAGAATAAATCCACACATTTATAGCCAATTGACTTTTTTCTTTTCTTTTTTAATTATTTATTTATTTTTGAGACAGAGTCACACTCTGTCACCCCTAGAGTACAGTGGTGTCATCATAGCTCACTGCAACCTCAAACTCCTGGGCTCAAACTATCCTCCTGTCTCAGCCTCCCAAGTAGCTGGGGCGATAGGTGCCCACCACAATGCCCGGCTAATTTTTTCTATTTTTAGTAGAGACGGGGTCTCGCTCTTGCTCAGGCTGCTTTCGAACTCCTGAGCTCAAACAATCCGCCCGCCTCGGCCTCCCAGAGTGCTAGGATTACAGGCGTGAGCCACCGTGCCTGGCCTAGCTAATTTCTTTCTAATTTTTTTTTCAGTAGAGACAGGGTCTCGCTCTTGCTCAGGCTGGTCACAAACTCCTGAGCTCGAACGATCCACCTGCCTCGGCCTCCCAGAGTGTTATTATTTTTTTAAGAGACAGATTTTCATTACATTGCCTAGGCTGGTCTCCAACTCCTAGGCTCAACTGATCCTTCCACATCAGCCTCCCAAGTCACTGGGATTAAAAGGGGGAGCCACCACATGTAGCTAAAGCCAACTGATTTTTGACAAAGGTGCCAAGACTGTACATTGGGGAAAGGATAGTCTCTTCAATAAATGGTGCTGGGAAAACTGGATGGATATACATTTGCAGGAGAATGATACTAGAATCCTGCCTCTCACCACGTACAAAAATCAAATCAAAATGGACCAAATGCTTAAATGTAAGATCTGAAACCATAAAACTACTAAAAAGAAAACACTGAGAAATGCTTTAGGACATTGGTCTAAGCAAAGATTTATAGCTAAGACTTCAAAAGCATTGGCAACAAAAACAGACAAACAGGCCGGGCGCGGTGGCTCACGCCTGTAATCCTAGCTCTCTGGGAGGCTGAGGTGGGCGGATTGTTTGAGCTCAGGAGTTCGAAACCAGCCTGAGCAAGAGCGAGACCCCGTCTCTACTAAAAATAGAAAGAAATTGATTGGACAACTAAAAATATATTGAGAAATTAGCCGGGCATGGTGGCGCATGCCTGTAGTCCCAGCTACTTGGGAGGCTGAGGCAGGAGGATCGCTTGAGCCCAGGAGTTTGAGGTTGCTGTGAGCTAGGCTGACGCCACGGCACTCACTCTAGCCAGGGCAAAAGAGTGAGACTCTGTCTCAAAAAAACAAAAAAACCAAAAAAAACCAAAAAAAACAAACAGAATTATATTAAACTAAAAAGCTTCTGCACAGCAAAGGTAAAAGAGTGAAAAGACAACCTGTAATGGGAGAGAATATTTGCAAACTATTCATCTGACAAGGGAATAATATCCAGAATACATAAGGAACTCTAACATCTCAACCGTAAAAAACCAAATAATCCCATTAAAAAATGGGCAAAGGATCTGAACAGTCATTTTTGAAAAGAAGACATACAAATGGCTAATAGGTATATGAAAAAATGTTCAACATCTCTAATCATCAGAGAAATGTAAATCAAAACCACAATGAGATATCACGTCACCCCAGTTAGAATGGCTATTATCAAAAAGACAAAAAATAACAAATGCTGGTGAGGATGCAGAGAAAAGGCTCTCAAGTACTGTTGGTGGGATGTAAGTGAGTACCTATAGGATGTATGGAAAACAGTATGGAAGGTTTTCAAAAAACTAAAACTAGCAGGCCATGGTGGTGGTATCTATAGTCCCAGCTGCTTGGGAAGCTGAGGCTAGAGGACTGCTTGAGCCCAGGTGTTCAAATCCAGCCTGGAAAACAGAGACCTCATCTCTTAAAAAAAAAACCCAAACAACTGAAAATAGAACTACCATACTCTAGTAATTCCATTATTGGGTATTTATCCAAAGGAAAGGAAATTAGTATATCAAAGGGATGAGGGATAGCCGCATCCCTTGTTTATTACAGCACTATTCACAATAGCCAAGACAGGGACTCAAGTGTTCAGGAATGGATGAATGGAGAAAATGTGGTATATATACATAATGGAATACTATTCAGCCATAAAAAGAATGAAATGCTGTCATTTGCAGCAACAGAATAGACTGGAGGTTATTACATTAAGTGAAATAAAACAGGCACACAAAGACAAATATTGCATGTTCTCACTCACACGTAGGAGCTAAAAAAGTTGATCTCTTGAAGGTAGAGAGCAGAATGATGGTTACCAGAAAGGCTGGGAAGGGGTGAGGGATGAACAGAGAGGTTGGTTAACGGGTACAAAAATACAGTTAGATAGAAGGAATAAGTTCTAGTGTTTGATAGCACAGTAGGGTGACTATAGTTAACAATAATTTATTGTATATTTCAAAATAGCTAGAAAATCTGAAATGTTCTCAATACAAAGAAATAATAAATGGTTGAGATGATGGATATCTGAAACGCTGATTTGATCATTACACATTGTATCAATGTGTCAAAATATCACATGTACCCCATAAATATGTATAACTATTAGGTATCAAAAAATTAACATTTGTGGCCAGGCTCGGTGGCTCATGCCTTGTAATCCCAGCACTTTGGAAGGTCTAGGCAGGAGGATCACTTGAGCCCCCAAGTTCGAGACTAGGCTAGGCAACATAGCAAGCCCTCGTCTCTATAGAAAATTTTAAAAATTAGCCAAGTGTGGTTGTGGACGCCTGCAGTCCTAGGTACTCTGTAGGATGAGCCAGGAGGATCGCTGGCACGGTAGCCCGGGTGACAGAGCAAGACTCCGTCTCAAAAAAATAAATTTTTTTTACAGTTTAAAAAGTGATGTGAAAGATGATATTATATATATTTGAAGCATTATTACGTATTTTTAATGATGTGGAGACATTCTTTGTGGCATAATAATGAAGAAAGCAGAACAGACAAATGTACACACATTCAATACAAGCTAAACTACACACGGAAGCAAAAAAGTAATATGCCTAACTGCAAGTGGTTGCCTCTAGGTGATGGCACTGTTTCTTTTTTCTTTTCAATTTTTCTTATAAGCCTTAGATTTCTAAATAAGAGTTTTGAAAAAGTAATGCACTCAAATGGTTTAACAATTAAAATGTCTTTTCAAATTTCGTACAAGCTGTGAGGATTAAGAACACAAGAAAACACAAAACCCTGGAAAGGCGTAAAGGGAGCCCACAGTTGCAGCCAGCAAAGTAGGCTGCGGGATCCCCAAAGGTAGGCCCCGCCCGTTCCTGGCTCACGCACCCAGTCCCAGCGGCTCCAAAGAGCCACATAGAGTGGCGGCAGCCAAGCTTCTAGGGTTCAAAATCCACTTCCACCCTTTCCTAGGACAAGGCACTCAGTTTCACGGGGTTTCAGATTCCAAATGTGTAAAATGGAGCTAATGGTCGTGTCTACCTCGCACCGCTGTGAAGAGGAAGAAAGACAAGATATATAAAGCGCTTAGCGGAGCCTGCCACAAACTGAGCTTCCAAGAAACGCTATCAAGGTTGCACAACAAGGCCCAAGACGCTAGCCTGCAGGGGCCGTGGACAGCCTCCCCACCCCTCTGACTCCTCGCCGAGGCCCGGGCTCCCGCTTCCGGTCAAGGGGGCAGCGGGATCCGGTGGCCCCGCCTCGGTCTGGAGGCCCGCGCCGCCTGGGTTCCGCCCTCCAGCCAGCTCGTCCCGGTCCCGGCCACGCCCAGCCCCACGGATTCCTTGTCCGGTGCTCTGAGTCTCCTCCACCCACGGAGGATGGAAGGCCGGGCGCGGGTGGTGGGCGGCCGCCAGCTACAAGCCCCGCGCAGACACTCACCATCTTGGACCGATTCGGTAGCTCTGCGTTGCCGACAAGCAGCCCGGTCCCCAGCCTTTCTGCGTCTGCGCGGTTTTCTGTGAAAACGGACAGCTCCGGTAGCCTATCAGGAACCAGCGTGGGGCGTGCGGGGACGGCCAGGCGAGGTGATCCTAAGTCAGCTGCCTCAAAGCTAAAAGCGAAAGAGCGCTTTCGCTGTGGAAAATTCCCAACTCCAGCTGTGCCGAAAAGATGCTGGTTCTCGGTGTCGCAAGAGGCATTCGACTCTCAGTCGAGGTCTGAGCTGGCTCTGGAGACCCTGGGTGGAGGGAGAGTATGAAGGCGAGGGGGACGGTCGCTGAGACCCCTTTGCGCCCAGATTGAGGCAAAAAGAGAGGCCCAGAGCCAAAACGCGCTGACGACATGGGAAAGTGCGGGGTTGGCGCTGTAGTCAGGTACCTCTGGAGGCTCCGGAGCGACCCCCTTGGGAATAGTCCGTGCAAGTTCTGAGATGAATTGGTCAGGGCTGGCCTGGGAGTCTACAGACGTGGAAATCGAGCTCAGCCCCACCCCTGCGTTACCGTGGAGAAGCGTCTTCACGTCTCTGTGCTCCATCATTTTCTCACCTTCAAAACGGGCTCCCTTCTTCCCAGAGCCCTATGTTGTCCCCTTTTCCGCTCTTTAAACTTACTTCTGGATCCTCTAGCAGTAAATAACTTATGCTAAAACATGCGGCCACTTGGTGAACCTCGTGCCACGTTACTGTGCTGAACATTCACAAATGCGTTATCTCCAGTAGCAACCATAGTGAGTATCGGTGTCCCCGATAGTTTACGAATGCTGTCTCTTCCAGTCACTGGAGCTTGCTAAATCAGATCAGCGGTGGTGATCTAACTCCAAGTTTTCATTCCACGGTAGCACCTCTTCAGTGGGGAAGCATTTGGTGCTCCTTCAAGGGTGTGTCTGCATATTAAGAAGATTGGATAGTGACTTTACAACGAAGAAACCTAGCAGATACCACCTTAACCAGGAGATCACGGTTCATATTACTGGAAACAGGACATATTGATGTCGTGTGCCCTGTGACACGATGTGCCAAGCACATCACCTCCGTGGTATTTTTCACAAAAACCTCTAGCCTTCACCATGAGAAAATTTAACTAAACCCAATTAGAGGATATTCTACAAGGTACCTAACCAGTACTCTTCAAAAATCCCAAGGTCGTGAAAGACAAGAAATGAATGAGGAACTGTCACAAATTGGCGGAGACCAAGGACAAAGAAAAACAACATTGGGGAAAAACTGGTGAAATCAGAGTAAGTGCTGTAGTTTAGAGTTTTTTTCTTTTTTAACCAGTGTTGATTAGTTTTGATAACTGGCTTCGTGGGATATTAACATTGGGGAAAACTGGCTGAAAAGTATGCAGGAACTCACTGTACCATTTTTGCAACAGTTCTGTAAATGTAAAATTTTTAAATAAAGGGTTTAAAAAAGGATCGAGTACAAAGGAATGACTGTTGAATGCTGGAAACATTAGGAAAGAATTTAGCCGGGGAAAAACTGCTGCAGTGACTGGACTCCAAAACATCCTGGAAGATAAGCACAGGAGGGATCATTACCGTATCTTGCATATATAGAACCAGACTGAGAGAAGTGAAATAATTTAAAATATATATTGCAATCCTAGAAGCCAATAGTTCATGTGACTGGGGCCAAACAACAGTGAAAGAGCTGGAGACAGGGCCACGAGTGTCCTTGAGTGGCAGGCTTACAAATTTTTAAGTTTGTTCTGTGGTAATGGAGGAATCATTGTTAGATTTTAGGCAGAGGAGGCATGAGACTGAGGTCTTCCACAGATCATCCTGAGGCAGCACAGAAGATAGATTGGAGAAGAGAGAATGGAAGCAAAGACAACAGGAGGCTGGTACGGTAGACCAGGTTATGGGTAAAGGATGTGGGCTGTGGTAATGGGGTCAGCTCTGATGGAAAGGATTCAAAAAAGTTTTGGAGATATATTTGATAGGATTTGGAGATTAATTAGATGGAATGCCTAAATTAGCCATTGCCAAGTATGACTGCATATTCTCAAAGTCCTTCCCTGTGGGGTGCTTTGAGGAAATCGCATTGTCCATGGCTACTCTTTGCTCAACAGGAATCTGTTCATAAGGGACCAACATTGTCCTTATGGGGTCTCTTCTTCTTGCCAACCAGAAGATTCCCCTGGCTCCACCCCATAAATGTCCTGCTCACAAAGGAGACCTACAAACACATAGGGTCTGACAGCAAAATGAGCAAGGAGTGACAGCAGCTTCTGCTCTGGAGTTACATGATGTGAGACATCCTTCTTAAAAGTCCAGAGAACACCAGCCCGTCAGCCACCGCTGAGTCCCAGTTTGATGCTTTGTAAGTTGTGGGATGGAGAGCCAAATGGTCAGTAAGAACATTACTTATTCCCAATAGAAGATTTCTTCATGCTTAATGTATGTGTGTGTGTGGGGTATCTTTGCCCTTTTTCTTACCTGCAATGAAGCTAGAGCTTTCTGGCTGCTTCTGAGACAGATTATTAATAAACAGGACAGGGTCTACTACTCGGGACCCAGGAGGGGCCTGTTTATATTCTCCAATCACTGTTAGATCAGCATATTAAACTCTATTTCCCTTAGGCCTTTCTCTTGGTTCTGTTTTAAATACGAGCACAATCATCTGGGTTTCCTATTAAGAACAGGGTCTACTGAAACTTTTCAGTAGGTGAGCAAGCCAGCTTGTAGAGAACAGTCAATCTAGGTAGCTAGGGTGGTTCTCAGCAGTTATGGCTGGGGTCCTGTCGTAAAGCACTTTTAATTGTCTCAGAAAAGCAATTCAGATGGAGGCCCTAATGTTTGTTAGTGGCCCTTGTAGGTGTCTTCATCTTCAACATAAGCACCAAATCCAATCTCATCTGAATAGATCTTTCTAGACTGTTTGTACCCACACCACAGGACAGGCTGTAAGTTGCCACTTATGAAAGCTGAGCGGCAGAAGTCTATATGCCTGGGTCACATAGAAGTCGTCTCTGTGGGAGGTCGGGGGGAGACAACAGCTTCTTACCCAAAACTAACAGAAGTGTACGAATGAAGGACCAAAAAAGTTTAATTATAAACACAGTCTTATATTGTTTAAGGAAATACAAGTGAGGCAACCCCTGAGGGAACTTTAAACGCACTTGACTCCCTGTGATATTTGTAGAGTTACCTGAGTGTTAGAAATTATACTCCAAGAAAACAAAGGTACTCCAATATAGTAATATACAATCCAGTGCTGTCATTCCCTGTTACTGGTTAATGAAAGCATAATGCAATTTTGTAAATAACTCTAAAAGAAAAGCAGTAAAAGGAGGGGGGCTGGAGATATCAACAATACTAAATACAAGTAGTTAACTCTTTTAGAAGGATGGAGTTACATCCAAAACAAGGAAGGATATAAAAACAGAGGAAAAGTTTAAATTCCATGAATCACCCTTGATAACATTTCAGATTTTTAACCAGATAAGTAAAAAGTGGCAGAGTGGGCTTGACAGGAATACTTCACATGGGATGAGACCTCTGGGGGTAGTTGAGCATGTTTTGTTAAAATTTCTGATGAGCTGACATCAGTATGTCTATCTCTTGATGAAAAATCAGTACCTAAATTTTTTTTTCCCCCCAAGAGACGGTGTCTCACTATGTTGCCCAGGGTGGACTTGAACTCCTAGGCTCAAGCGATCCTCTTGCCTCAGCCTCCTGAGTACAGTATCTGAATTATTTTTTTTTTTTTTGAGACAGTCTCACTCTGTTGCCTGGGCTAGAGTGAGTGCCGTGGCGTCAGCCTAGCTCATGGCAACCTCAAACTACTGGGCTCAAGTGATCCTCCTGCCTCAGCCTTCCGAGTAGCTGGGACTACAGGCATGAGCCACCATGCCTGGCTAATTTTTTCTATATATTTTTAGTTGTCCAGATAATTTCTTTCTATTTTTTTAGTAGAGACGTGGTCTTGCTCTTGCTCAGGCTGGTCTTGAACTCCTGAGCTCAAACAATCTGCCCGCCTCTGGCTTCCCACAGTGCTAGGATTATAGGCGTGAGCCACCGTGCTGGGCCCAGTATCTGAATTTTAAATAGAGTTATTTTAAGTCTTATAAAATGAGATTCTTTTTTACTCTGACATACGATAATAAAAGACAGAGCGGGAATGTATTATTATGAACTTCTTGATCAGTTTTAAACCACTCCATTTGATGTAACAAGTGAGGTCCTTCTCTCCTGACTAGGCTGTGGAATGCTGCTTTCCCCAACCCCTCCCTGCAAAAAAGCAGAATAACTCAATTGCTCATTTTGTTTTTATTTCAACGTAACATGCAGTAAAAAAAAAATTAACAGGATTTATTAGCATTTACAATGCTTACAAGGAAAAGGATTCTAAAAGCAATTTAGTTAAAAAAGCTCTAATTAAACACAATAAATCTATTTCCAAATATTCAGTTTGGACCAAAATTTAAGATAACATCTGATAGATATTTATGTCTGCTGTCTATCTGCAGTATTTTTATATAACCTCTGATTCTTGGGATATCCAGCCCCCATTTTTCTAACACAGCAGGGAAGACATATACATGTGGCCATTTAAATTAAAGGAAGAAATGGAGTAGGGAGATCCCAGGCTGCAAAAATATATACAAGCATTTACCTTTTCGAGAACTAAACGTTTCTTTCATAAAAATATTAAATAGCCAAGCCCTATAGAACTAGGGCCAGGGCTACTTCAAATATAACTATTCTGTATTTTAAAAATATAGGGCAGAAAGCCTTTTGGGTGATATTTATACATTTTCACACAATATTTCTAGGTCCCTAAATGAATCGTGAAGCATTATGTAGAACCAAAAAAGTCTATTTTCTTACATTATCTCTTAATTTAATCTCATAAATCTCTAGTAATTATTGTATGTAACTATGTTTCAGTATGAGAATTCATCTCAATAGGAAGTCTTTATAGAGGCTTAATCTTCATAGCCTATATTACCAAAGTTCAGACTTATATAATGAATGGACAGTTGGCAAACATTCGCTCTGAAAGACAAAGCAATAGCATTTCTCCCCCCTACCAACAAAAAGGCAGAGTCCCTATTTTGGAACCAACTAGGACTTTTAGAGACCACACATTTCCTGGGGTATGTGAAATAAAAAACAAACAGAGGGTTGAAGAGAATCTAATCTCCCCCTTTACCCTGACAATTTCTTGATGAGGCAATCTTTTCATTCACATAAGCCTCTGCTTTATGATGGCAGTGTCTTAGAGTACAGCTACACAAGTTTAAAAAAATGTTTTTATTGTTCCAGGATGTAAATAGAAGAGCAGGTAGGGAGAAAACCCATTTTCTTTCCATGAGGGAACTGGGGTCTGCTACTTTCTGCTTATTCTTGGCTTAATGCTCCTTGTTCGTACTACGCTACTGAAACATGGCAAAGCCCCTGTTACGTGAGTTTTGAGGTTGTCCTCAGGTTCACCTGTAATAGGGACTCAGCTGGCTTAGGCTTCATTCACTGCCCATAAAGTCAAATGTATGACAGCAGCCATCTTGGAAGTCTAAGCTAGGCCAAGTGAGAAGAATTAACTACAGAAAAATTCAAAGTGCATTAATCAGTTACTATTGGAGCAGTCTAAAATTAAATACTCATGAGAAAAAAATGGAAAACTTTCTAAAATTTTTAGGGGTGAAAATAATATTTAAGATGAGGACTATCAATCCAGTTCAGGACAATGTAAAGAATGGAAATGACTACTACAACATATGTTAGAGAAATGATAAATTTGAAGACTTTTAATTCACACAGAGAATAAATTTCTGTGGTTACTAGATGTTATCTGCCTTTCTTTTTAGCCAGTATGTATACCTCTCCCAAATGAAAATGTGATTTTAGAAATTATTTCACTGACTTCTGTCTGGACTAGAAAGCACTCTGGTTACAAATTGAACTCCTTAGCAATAATTAAATATAACAAATTGTTGGATTATGATAAAATTATAAAGCTTCAGTTATGTAGAGGAACATAGAAAAGTCATCAATAATGGCCTTAGATGAATTCAGCTAAATTAATTCTAATTCTAGGTTAACTTTAAAAACAACAGTGAAGGAACCACAGTGTAAATATTGTTTGTAAAGTTTCATTTCCAAATGAAGAGAGGTATGAAGTCATTCGCAGGCTGGGACCAATTCTTCCCTGTATTCAAATTGATAAAACTACCTTGTAGAGAGATGCAAGAGCATTGCATCACTTCCAGGAAGTGCATAGATTCATGCTCCACAAAGGAAAAACAACAGTCAGGCCAGGCTGAAATGAGAGGGACAGCACAAGCCAGAAGTTTGCTCACAACCCCAGAAGCTGGGCTGAGCTTGCACTTTAATACCTCTTACCAAGAGGCTTAATAGGAAGATCTTGTATATTGCAGTTACCAAGGGACTTCCCTGCATATCTGCAGAATCTCTAAAAGAAAAAAACCTACTCCCAAGTAAGACTTTTGACACATATACAAAATTGTTAAGGAAACAATCTAGTCTAGTGGAATAAGACAAGGCAGATTTCATTGCTGTGTTAAATCTTATATTAAGTAAGGTTTTGACTAGTCATGTGCAGATCTGATTTCTGGAAACACTGAGTAGAAATCCAGAATCACTGGGAGATAAATCTCAATGATAACATTAATTTACTTACACTGAGATAACTCTCTAAACAGTCATAGTCCAATTTTACAACTAGATGTGCAACAGGCAGAGAAGGAAAAGGACAAACAGTGCAAATAACTTCTTGTCCTTTCATGATGCAAATTCTCAGAAGTTACTCTTGTCCAAATCCTTCCGTTTCTTCAATGGCAAACAACAGCTTTTCCTTCAGTTGCTCGTAGCTCTTGTATGGTGGCAGGTCTAGGCGGTTAAAGCTAAAAGTAAAAATTGTTAGTTTGAGAAATGGAAATTTACAAAGAATCAAATAGGCAGTGTACTATAGCAACACTGGTTTTAAAGTCAGGCAAAACTGGGTTCAAATATCAATTCTGTAACTGACTATAACTGACCATAACATAGTTGTAAACTTATAATTATGACTTTTGTTAGTTATGGCAAATTAAAACATGGAACCTCACAAAGTAATGAGGCTGGTTTTCATGTGGGACTGAGATAAGCTGTTCACAGTATAATTATAGCACAGCACAGTATGTTTCAAGTTTGAAAAAAGCGAGGGGTTAGAGGTCAAATCATAACACGTGTACAAGATCAATGTGCAAAAATCAACTGTACTTCTATATACTAGCAATGAACAATCTGAAATGAGATTAAGAAAATAATTCCATTTACAATAGTATCAAAAAGTAAAATACATAATAAATTTAACAAAAGAAGTGTAAGACTTATACAATGAAAACCACAAAACACTGTTGAAATAAAGATGACCTAAATAGGCCGGACGCGGTGGCTCACGCATGTAATCCTAGCACTGTGGGAGGTCGAGGCGGGCGGATTGTTTGAGCTCAGGAGTTTGAAACCAGCCTGAGCAAGAGC